TAAAATTATTATTATTAAATTTTTTTGTACTTCCCCTTTCCCTATTTAGTTTGTTAGCCGCCCTGAGTCCCCTCGGGGAATAGGGCGGCGTACAAGTTTAATAAAACTAAACTAAACTAAACTAATTGTATTTTTAATGATCTGTTTTTAAATTTTAAACAAGTACATTGAAGTTGGGCAGCCAATAAAATTTAATAATAATAATTTTAATAAATCAGAGTATGTTTGCATTGGCTTAATGAGGATGTTAGATGCTATTGAGTCAGACTGATTCAATTCCTGTGTGGACCATTATTTTCAATTTCAACCGACCTGGGCAACAACCCACAGTTACTGCATTCCAGTGATACTTTTGATCCCATCCATCCATCTTATCAATTGTTTTCATTTTCTTATACTTCCAAGATGTAAGATGAAAGTGTAAATTTGTTCAATTTTATGCAGCATTATACACAGCTTGAAAGCATTTTTTTGATGAAAGCAAGGAAAACTTTTCACTGTGCCTTGATTAAAATGTTGTATGCCAGATACAAAATAAAATTGTTTAGGAGCCAAATCTAGTCATTGCTACTGTAGTTGCACTTCTTAATCAGAAACTCTAGAAGGTATCTATATACTACTAAAACTCTTGATTCCTGTAATCTTTAACTGCGTGAAACAGTGCACTACAGAGTAAACCCTTTTGTATCTATGTACCTAAAATGGGCTAATTTATAAAATGTCTCCAACATTCAGGATCCAGGACTCAATTCAAAATGTCATAAAATATTTCCTGCATTGATGTTTGACTCTGCTACATAGGTAGATACATCTTTTCCAGTGAAGGCAGTACATTAGGACTTCTATTATTGTTGAAAGCTTTGAGGAAACTGGTAAAGAAGGAACATCTCTGAAAGGATGACCCAAAGGGTAATGGATTGTCTAGTAAGCAAATAACGTTATACACTAGGTAATTGCTGCTGTTACTCTGAAGGTTATAAAAGTCTTCTTATAATGTTCATTTATCCAGACTCACAGCACAATATAGCCATGTGTCAGCTCCTCTAGGTAACCAGTCTAAGCAATCAACTCCACAGGAACATTAAAACTATTTTTATTGAGACAGAGCCAGTTTGATCCAGAGGTTAAGGCACCAGGCTAGAAAGCTGGAGATCTTAGGTTCAAGTCCTGCCTTAGTCATGAAAGGTAACTGGGTGACTTTGGACTAGTCACACTGTCTCAGCCCACCAACCCACCTCACAGGGTGGTTGGAGGGGGGGGAGAAGGAATAAAATGCATCAGATATGTTAGCTGCCTTGAGTTATTAGTAAAAAAATAAAAATAAAGGTGGGATATAAATAAACAAATAAACAGAATTCCATAAGTCTTATTATGCTGTACTTTGTCCTCTTATAGTTCAGTGAATTAGGGAAGTTTCTTTACCCCTTATCACTTTGGCAGTGGGGCTTGCATATACATATCTCTTCAAGTTCATCTTCATTACTCTCTACATCAGGCCAGGAGTGATAATGTATAACTGAGTATCAGCTTATGGATGACACCAATCTCTTTGGCATCCCATAAAATAGCATCTCCCAGCTGGAACCATATATTGAAGAAGGAGCTTTTGCTTTTGATCTGTAAACTTCCTGCAGGCGATGTAGAAAGATACCATGACCAATGATAACTAGGAGGAGTATTCTATCCCTAGCAAAGATTACCAAGTAGAGCAACTCAGTCTTGGGTCTATGCCCAGGCCTGAAACTAGACTGAACATTATCTAGATCAGTGTTTTTCAACCTTTTTTGTGCAAAGGCACACTTTTTTCATGAAAAAAATCACGAGGCACACCACCATTAGAAAATGTTAAAA